GCAAAATATCCGTATCAATTTCAGGAAATCTGTCTGATAAGTTATTGACTAAATTATTAATGTACAAATTAGACAAATTATCAATAGAAAAATTTCTCCCCCATGGACCTTACTCAACACCTTTGTATTTGAAGTCAATCAATCTTGTTTAAATTGTGTAAGATGTTTCATCATAGCAGGATTGCTTAACATATATTGTAATAAACAAATAGCTACCTGTACCTTTGGTTTAAGAATAGACAAATCTACTAGTTCTCTTTGAAATATTTTGCTCAGCTTAGACACTACAGGTAAATTATCCATTAATAATGCTGTAATGGAGACAAAACTATAACTAGAAATTTCTTTCAATAAACCCTTAGCAATAGCATTATTACTGTCAGCACATTCATTTTCTAAAGTTGCTACTAAACTATCCCAGCATTTATATACAGCTTAAACAGACTGTGACACAGAAAACCAACGTACAGGGGTTGGTTGTTGTAGAGCAAATTGGATTTCACCTAATACCTCCTGCACCTCTCTAAGTTTGTTGTAACGTACTGGGGATGAATTAAAAAATATATACACATTATTCAAAACTTGTTGATATTTCTTCAGTGAATCAATTGATTTTGCTGCTTGTGAAGATGCAAGGCTGAGACGATGAGCAGCACAATGAACAGAAATCAACGATGAGTTCACATCTAGCCTAAGGCAAGCTGCAACACCATTAAGTCTGCCTGTCATGACTGCAGCACCGTCACTGCCAAACCCTACAAGATTCTCTAAAGGAATTGTCCTAGAAATTAAAAATTCACTAACAGCATTAGTAATGGTTTCTGCTCTGCCATCTCTAACTTCTACATTACCAAGAAAGTGATTCTTAGCCTCACCATCAACAACTACTCTTATAACCATTGACATTAGTTTGTGTACAGAAATGTCCACACTCTCGTCTATCATAATACCAAAAACACCACTTTGTTGTATATCAGTGTCTATCTCAGAGTCTATTATGACATCAGCAATAGCTTCCTTCATATCTTCTCCAGAACTGTGATGGCCATATAGATATTCAGCAGTAATATTTTTGACATCAGGGCAGTTAGTTTCTTTCAAAAAATCAACCAGGGATTGATACTTGGATAATGGCAATTCTTCCTTGGTTAACCAGTAAACACTTCATTTGAGTTTGCAGACTGTCAGAAGCCTTTTCTGTAGCTGCTACTGGTGCTCTTTGAAAACTCTATACACAAATAAAAAACATACACAATAAGTTTTATTCAGATATTCCAGTTTTTTCTTATCACAAGTTTTCAGTTCAGGACACAGTAAGTATATTTGTTCGAGGATTGTGACTTTAATTAGCTATATGGTACATTATTAATCACAATCTGATCAAAAAATGAATTTATTTGAATAAATTGAAAATTAGTAAAAAGTATGGTTTCATTCATTCATTTACTAGAGAACAAAATTACCTTTCTGCCTGATCTTGCTAGTATCACATCTGAGTGGTCTTGGTGATTTTGATGCCGGTTTAGTGCAGACTTTTGAAAATTCGTGCACCCTTCAACACTAAATTTGTTCTTTTTATCTGCTTTGCACCATTTACAAAACATTGCACCGTCACTATACTCTAACCACAGAAATAATGACAACCATTGTGGGAGAAAGTTTCCGTGACGATTTCCTTTCTTTGCTCGTTTCTCTGGCGTGGAACTGTCTGGTTCAACACTAGAAAACGTTCTTTTACCATTTTCATTCCCTGATGAGAATTTATCAGTAGAATTTTCTTGGATGGTAGAGGCGGAGCTCTTCTGACGCAGCACAGTTACGAACCGTTCCATGGCTGTGATTGATGTGATTTTTCGCAAATCGTAGCCGGGTATTTATAGTTAATTCCACAATATCTATTAAACTTCTATAATTAGAAATGCTTAGAAAGTATATAAAGTGTGAGACGGATCTCGGAAGTGCTGAACAAGCGAGAGGCGATCGAACATCCGCCATATTTGTTTACAGTGACAACCTTTCAACCGCATATAATTAGCATCTCATTACTGTGACGCATGAATCAGTTTGCACCAATCACCGGTGCCGTACTAAGTGGACACGGTCTGGAAACACGGTAAACCGTGAACGCTTATATTTCACACCTCTTGAGCGATTAAAATTTACAACAATAAGTACAGCAGGCAGTATTCATTGACAATAGCACAAGACATGCAATTTCCGCTGCCAGTCAGTGCAAAATAATTACGGGTTTCTCGCCTTGTACACCGGACGTAATCATGATGCAAGTCTAACAACTTGACAGAGCATGCCAATGACGGCAGGTCCCGTTAATGCGCTGGTAAAACAACAACGCGTCCCTGACAAAACCATTGCTTCCCGGACGCGGAATTCTGCGTTAACGCAAACCAACAATGCTGTCTCCGTGTCTTTACTCATGGTCAATTCACTCCTGTTATATGTCAGTTGGCACATTGCCATTGCCATTGCCATGCGATAAAATTCATGGTCACGGTTCTAGAAGCCGTATCTACACACGAATTGACGTCACAAAATACAAGATTCAATCGGGGTCGTTTCCTCGATATATACGAATTGGTATATACAAATTACAATAAAGATACTTTAGACATACACATAAGGTAAAACAAATCACGTGACAATATAATGATAATAACGGTAATAAATCCTAGCTTAACAGTTGAACAGAACGATGATATTAGTCAGTCCGGTCAAGCCAAGGGTCACGCACTTCGTTGCAAAATGGCCGTGTGGTTGAAACTGGGTCATGGCGTGACCTGTGAAGAAGACATCATTAAACACTCACAAAATCACAACAAAACGGGGAAGTGGTTGCATAATACGGCGTAGCCAACATGGGAAGTAAAAAACCGCACAACACAAATGCCATGGGTTCGATTTCCACAAAATACACACTCACCAGAAGCGAAGCAATCAGAAACCAGCAATCGTTTTGACTTTCCGGTCCAACTCGTCGGAACATTGGACTAGTTAGAAAAATGAACACCACTCAACGACCAACGTCGTGGCGTGGTACACAAGCGTGCCATCAAGATTAGCTTGAAAATTAGCTTGAAAAGACAGTGGGTTCGAGTCTCATAAGTCTCAAGTAATTAGTCCATACATTTATTCTCTCAATTTAACAACTTGTAATGGTGTAAAATCATTAAACGTGAGTTTTCTACACCAAAATAAGCCTCATTTATTTGTCCACACATTTATTTTCACAATTTAACAACTTATAATGGTGAAAGTTAATTAAACGCGACTTGTTTACACCAAAATAATTATTAAATATTTGAGACGTTTATTCTCTCAATTTAACAACTTGTAATTGTGGGAATTAATCAGACATGAGTTGTTTTTACCAAAATAAGTATTAAATATTTGTTGAGACATTTATTCTCTCCATTTAACAACTTATAATGGTGAAAGTTAATTAAACGCGACTTTTCTACACCAAAATTGCTTGAATGCACGGTAGTGCTTTCAGCATCCTCTCGCCAGTTATTTACAATGTGTATTTTTGGATGTTCTAATCTTGGTGTTTTTTCAGGGATTTTCTCTAGGTGCAAAAAGTAGTAGGTGTAGGTCTTGTTTACCTTTATATAATCCTTACCACTCACTTGCTTTTTTTATTTTCTTCCAGGCGAGACAATACAATCATCACCTGTATCTTCTGCTGGTTAAACTTTACAATTATTGTTACTTTATTCTTGTTTATTGTTGGTTAAAATAAATATAAAATAAAAACTTTATTATTTCCTTATTCATTACAGACGTTTATTCTATTCACACTATCTTTACATGGTTGTCCAACTAGTCATGCTAGTGATGTCTAATAGCAACTGGCCAAATTACAATCGAGTGGTGGGTGGGTCACAGTCAAGTACAAATAGGCCATTCACTCCCAAAGAACAAATATAACCATTCTTTCTAATTAAGTACTTTAACCTCCCCCACTTTATTCGAATGACATAACCAAAAGATTTAGACATCACCTACTTCCTATAACACACAACACCATATTCACACAATTGTTCATACATACATTGTCATAGAAAAATCAATGCCATAAATTTAGCAATGGCTCCAGGAAATCATTTGCCCATATTAACTATACCCCCCCCCCCCCATCTAATACTTTTGTTTCGTGTTTCAATTACATAACGTTTGTCAAAAATGTCAGCTAGCATATTTGCACACTCTAGAAAAGGTCATGTTTATATTGCGCTGGTCCTGCCAACTCTGGGTCACTCATTCAATACTTCTATTTATAAAAAACAAATTAACATTTTTATGAAAATAAATATGGAAGTTTCTGCATGTAAATACAAAATTGTGTGACATTTTCGTAGCTTCTCTCTCGAAGCCTTATAACGAATTATAAGCGCCGCTAAGATCAAGCACTGCATCATGTTTAGCCTGACAAGTTGGCGTGGCGATCGCAGCAGTCCAGGGCGCCACTCACGCCAACTTGTCAGACTACATCATGTTGTGCGCTGTGTCTATACGTGTAATGCAGTAGTGGTGGAAGTTAAGTGTAAAATGGTCCCAGTGCCACTATGTGTGTTTAGGTCTTAAGCCACTAATCAACCAATGGCTGCTCAATTTGAATGCCTTGCAAGAACCAATGACATTTTTTAAATATTTTGCTCCCTGTTTGAGGGCGTGATCGCCTGGGTCAAAGGCGAGACTAATATGTGGTCTTTTGTTTACAACTTAGCGGCTGTGTACTTGTGCGTTTATTCTAGATCTGTGTGTTTTTGGATGTTCTAATCTTGGTGTTTTTCCAGGGATTTTCTCTAGGAGCAAAAAGTAGGTGTGTCTTGTTTACCTGAGATTTGTAAGAGTTTGAGCTGGCCAACAAGTTGGTTTTTTTCCATGTGGTTGATTACTGTCATGTTGATACTAAACAGTTGTGCTTGTATATTTTTACAAAATGTGGTTTATTTCTAATACACTACCATATTCCCCTCTAGGAGCAAATATGGCGGATAAACCACCACTAGTGTGTCTTGATGACTACGAAGACTATGCATCAACTCATTTAGATCAAGTCACTCTAGGATTCTTCAAATCTGGCGCTGACGAAGAAATTAGTCGTGATGAAAATAGAAAGGCATTTTCAAGGTAAAATTACAAATATGTTAAAGGGCGGTGGTAGCGACGTATACAACGCGTGTAAAATACATTGATTATTTACATGAAATTGAAACACGCGCTACGCGACGACCACCGTCCTTTAACATATTCGTTATTTGTCGGCTCAAGTTAGCAATATGTAGCGCCCTCTAAAGCTTCTTCAAACCACTACTTTTATTGTGTATCATTTTATAGTTATAATCGCAGTTTGTGATCATTATACAAACAATGGCTGCCATATTAGTCACGTGTGTGACTCAAAGTATAGCAAACAAACAAACCAAATAGTTGACGATTGAACAAATACATTCATGAATCTAGGAATCCAAATCAGGATTCAAAAAATGCTTGCAAATATGAATTCATCACGTTCTAATGTGAGTAAGATGGTTTATTCTTCTATTGTTAATATGAGAATCGTCTTTATTATTATTACTTATTGTAATAATCTGTATTAAATTGTCCATAGAATATATCGTGTAATTTTACTTTATGGTATGTTTATATACTCTATACACCACAAATCTCAAAGCGACATCAGCTGTAATTCTGAGCACTTTTTATACCCAAATAGATGTGACCAAATTTTATAAAAATAATCTTTTTCGACACCATTGCATGGACATTATTATGACGCACGTTAATATTGAAAATGACGTATAAAATCATTAGTGAGACGCCGTCAGGAGGGTCTTCGCTTCTTAAGATAGCGACGTATTTGACATTATTTCGCCCGGGACCCCCGGTAAGTTGTCATCTTGTACTGTTATTCCTGAGGTCGGCTTAGCAAAACTGAATTTCCATAGGTGGCGGCCTCTGGAGACCGAGAAACACCCCTAGGCCTGTGGCCATCTTTTAATACGACGTTACGTCGGTATATAGCATACATGCTATGCTTTAAGTATTACCATTTTGACGAAGGCCGTTACAAATTGATACTAATGAAATGTTTTATTAAAAATAAAAATCTGAGAAAAAGATTGATTGTGACTAGTACATCCCTTTACGTACTTCATTAATGCTTCAATAATGATCAGTTTATATCAGATATATATATAGAAAGGCTATTTGTACTCGTAAGAAATGCACATGTATTAGTATTTCACCTCTTACATTTTTTCACTCTTATGGTGGCGATCAACATTAGTCACGGATTCTCGATGCTGATTTTGTTTTGGTAGCTGCTAGTTAAGAATTTAGAAAGATCCTAATGTGTTTCAAAAGGTACTTTGCAATACTTTGGGTACACTCTCGATGTTTTGAACAGCTGGTAGTTTATAATTGTGTTGCAAATGACGCAAATTCGGGTATACTGTCTTGTTGAGCGTAGCTGAGACCACGTGTGAAGATAAATTTCACTCCAGCAATAGCAAGGTCATAAGTTGAGTATTTATGAGAAGTTTAATGATTGCAATTTCGTAAAGATTAAACAATGTCAAGTGCAAGTGAAGCAGTATTATATTAGTAAACGAGTAGCGTACGTTTTTTAATAAACGCGCATATTTAAATAAAAAATATAAATAAATTATACATAAATTAAATCGCCATAAATGCGCATATTTAAATTAAAATATGAATAAATTTTAAAAAAGATTAAATCGCCACCATAAATGCGCATATTTAAGTAAAAATATAAATAAATTTGAAAATGATTAAATCGCCATCAATGCGCATATTTAAATGAAAATATAAATAAATTTGAAAAAGATTAAATCGCCGTAAATGCGCATACCAAACACTCACAAAACTCACTTCCTGGGCGGTATTTCATAACAGATAAATGGTAGTCGCAAGAAACATATTGTCTAATTATCAAAAATGTTGTGATCAAAAATGAAAAACAAAAGGTGTATTTTAGATTCTGAATACCTTTTATATCATCTAAATGGCTGTAATTCGAGTAGAACTTTCGACGCGGATGTTAGGAACAAGTTTAGAAATAGCTTCAATGTACACAGGTAACTATTTCATTGCAATGTATTAACTTATAGAAGTAAAGTTGGTTGTTTCCAGCATCCTAAGCCGAAAGAAAGAACTGGTCACATTGGTTACACATACCACCTGTTGTTCAGTCATTGGCCAAATATTACCTGTATGTGGGATGACGTAGAATCCAACCCCGGACCTAAAAAATCAACATTGACAGAGGATGGTATGATCTCTACGGAAATTCCGCAAACTATGAAATTACGAAGTGAAAATAAAACCAGTGGTGCGAATATAGATAAGTGGGCAACTAAATGGCAAAATGAATAATTTCACTAGAAACATAAATACGAAAATTAATAATTTCAATGGTGAAGTATAGAAACTAAGAAGTGAAGCTGAAGTAACTAACGGCAGAATGTCTCGAGTCTGGAAATAAACAATTCAATGAGAAAATCAACCTATTAGAAAATAAACTAGACACGCAAACGGGCCAACTAAAACGTGACAACTTAATATTCCACGGCATCAAGCAATACGAGGGATGAATATGAAGAAAAAGTTAAACATTATATTAAGGATAAATTAACACAGCAGACACATATAGAATTCAAAAGATTTCACCGAATGTGACGTGTTAAATCACAACCCATTATCGCCCAATTCAGTCATTTTAAAGACCGTTCAAACGTGCGATAGAATGCGAGAATAAATAGAAGTTCTTTGGATGCTGGAATGCGTGTTGGTGAAGATTTCTCGGATTTGGTGAGAGAAAAAAAGACTTAAGTTATCGCCTAGTACGCAGAGCGCACTGGAAGAAGGAAAGCGCCCATATAGAATGATTACCACATCAGACCTCTAAAAATACTATATTTAAGACGAACTATATAACTAGTAATAACTTTAATTAATCATTTGAATACAATGATATTAATTGTACATGCTGGAATGTCAATAATGCTCGATCAAAATGGTCAAACCCTGATTTCCTTTCTTATCTAGGAAAATGTTATGTGATTGCCTCACGGAGACATGGACACATTTTCCCTTGATATTGTCACCTTGGCAGGTACTCTGGTGAAATTTGTTTCTTTTAACGCAGTCTGACAACTTATCTGTACTTCAAATTTTGAAATTTGTATTCTACGCTTCTAAATGTGGAGAAAACCAGTTGTGACTTGTAGATACAATGGATATTTGAATGACTCCCTGTATTTTTCTATTTTTGATTTATTGAACCATTGGCCGGAGGCCATTCCACTTAATAAAATCATATGATATTACTTTGTTGCTACCGCCGTTTTTTTTTATCAAGGTTAAAGCTATTGCCAAGGGTGTTAAGAGATGTTTCCAAGAGAGATTTGTCGACAACAATTGTTGGCAATCCTATACAATTCCCAGTGTGCATCGCGTCAAGTGCATTTCACCGGCTTGCCTGTTCAGATGGTGAGGCAAGCACAGCAAAAGGTAAAGAACATTCTTTATCAAAAAATTTCGAAATAAAACGAATTTTCTCTCTGTAGACAAAAATTAACATTTGAAGATATATATATATATATATTAGTTGAAAGCATTCTAGTGATAGCATTAAGGTAGAGATGCAGTTTACTTGACAGGTATTTTAATTAGTTAATTAGGAAACCAAGATGACCTACCTTGTCCACAAAACTATATATTTTCGGAAAGCTTATTATATGAATTTTAAAATTTTGTTAGTATTTTTTTATGGACATTGTAGTTTGAAATATGCACAAAAATGTGCTTTTTTGGTCAAAAGTAATTTTAAAAAATTGCTTCTAAACCATGCTTCTGTTTTCTGTCAAAATTGGTTTATGGGTACATCTGTTTAATATGAAGAAAGTGCCCTCTTGAAAACTGTCTACCAGTTGTCAATTTTGCAGGGCAGCAGCTCAAATTTCACTACTTCAAGTTTATGCATAAATTAACCAGGCTAGTCTGTATGATTGTTGTAACACTGTTCAACTAAAAACAATGCCCTGACGGCGTTTGTGGAGATAAAAACATTATCAATCATTTGTGAAAATTTCAAAACAAAAGGTCAAAGCGTCTAGAAGCTAAAAAGAATCTGAGATAATTGCTAATTGCATAAAAATTCACTCAGTAAGAAGTTTGCTAATGCTCATAAGTAAAATGGCTGTAACAGTTCCAAATTTAAATGTATTATCGTTTTGTTAAAATATATGGAGATCCCGTCATTTCTTTTTTTCACCATGTTTCTTTTTTATTATTTATGTACAGCCTTGCTAAATCTTGCTGAGCATTCAAAAGAGATAATGTTCGCACCTGTTATCTATATTTTAAAATCGTTTTTTGAGTATGTTGCACTATTCACAATTCCACAAAATTTTAACAGTCTATAGCCAAGACTGTTTGGATAATAAAAAGAAAAAAAAATTCCACTCCCAAAATGCCCACGAACCTGCATCATTTTTTTTACAGCTGCGAAAGCGATGAACACGTGCATAATGCTCAGCACATACTCAACTACGCCGCTGGAAGACGTGGCAGCTGCTGGATCTGGGGTGTTGAAATGGTTCCAGTTGTATATCTGGAATCCGCGGGAGGTGTCTGTTAATTTGATAAAAAGAGCTGAAACGACTGGGTTCAAAGCATTGGTGCTAACAGTAGATACCCCAGCAACAGGAAAAAGAAGGATCGATATTTATTCTGGAGGGTTTACACTTCCACCACACTTAGAATTGGTGCATCTTCCAGAACGATATAGAGTGAGGAAAAAAAACAAACGTCTGTTTGACTGGTGTATTGCACCAAAAGTTGTTGTGTAGTTCAGTGAAGTGGGTTGTAGTGAATAGCGTGGATGGGAGCTCAGTATAGTGGAATGGAAGTCTGAACCAGTGAAATGGCGTGGAAGGCAATAGAATGGAGTGGGGAAGTGAAGTGAAGTGGAGTGGAGTGGAGTGGAGTGGAGTGGAGTGGAGTGGAGTGGAGTGCATTACAGTGAAGTGGAGTTCAATGTAGTTTAGTGGAGTTCAGTAGTGTTTAGTATAGTGGAGTGAAGCGAAGTGGAGTTCAGTGGTGTTTAGTATAGTGGAGTGTAGTGGAGTGGAGTGTAGTGGAGTGGAGTGGAGTGTAGTGGAGTGTAGTGCATTACAGTGGAGTGGAGTTCAATGTAGTTGAGTGGAGTGGAGTGGAGTGGAATGGGTGTAGTGCAGCTCAGTGAAGGTCAATAGAATAGAGTGGAGTGGAGTGATGTTAAGTGGAATTCAGAATAGTGGAGTTCAGTGGAGCGAGGTTTAGTGAAGTTCAGTGGAAAATGGTCCGGTCCAGTGAAGTGAAGTGGAGTAGAGTGATTGCACACGGTGTGGTGAATCATAGAAAATGTATTATTAGTTTAAGTCAATAGTTTTAATTTGTTCTATAGATAACATCATCAGATGCTGACCAAGATTACGGTGGGCCAAAAAACCTATTAGACACGACATTGACTTGGGAATGCATCGCATGGATGCGATCGGTCACCAAACTACCAATAGTACTTAAAGGTATTCTAAGCCCAGAAGATGCATTGCTAGCTGTGGAACACAAAGTAGATGGTATCATAGTATCAAACCATGGTGGGCGACAATTAGATACAGTGCCAGCAACGGTATGAATGACATATTACCACTTTAATAGTATATATGAATTGCTTTTTATTCTATGTAAGGAAACGTTATCAAATGTTTTGCTGAATTGTTAATGCATTTATTACATTGTGTTGAACGGTTGTTTACTAAATTTATTTATATTATTTAGATCTGATAGTCAAATTCAAATGCGTACAACTATCCGACTGTCTTTCTATTCAGATTGAAATGTTGCCGCAAATAGTGAAAGCCGTGAATGGGAAACTAGAAGTGTATTTAGATGGCGGTGTACGTAATGGTACTGATGTGCTAAAGGCAATAGCATTGGGCGCCAGGGCTGTGTTTGTTGGAAGACCAATCATATATGGTCTGGTATATGCGGTAAGATTACAAATACAGAAATGAAACCAAATTACCATGTATAGTGACTTGATTATGATCAATTGATTCATTGTATTTATTTCAATATTTGTTTTCATTATTTTTCACAAAGGCCAAAGAAGGAGCTACCCAGGTTCTTCAAATTTTAAAGGACGAGTTCAGCTTAGCAATGGCATTATCAGGTATGTTGACAAACTTGTTAATCGTGTTCTATTTCAGTATTAAACATGTTTGACCAATGCATGAAGGCTGTTGTGGAATTTTGTAAGCGAAAATCCACATATACAATTACAGACCTAATTATTCTCTGGTATTAATTAATATAAAAAAACATCTCTGTAATCGATCTAATTATAAAACATTTGTCCCAATGGCTGGTGGAGATGCCATAAATATTGAATTAAACCTTTTGGGGAATACATGACTATATGATAATTGTACACAAAATGTCATGCCAGTTCACGTGGATAGTTATGAAAATTATTATACTTATCAAAACTCAAGGTAGTTCTCATAACGGTTTTCTCACGTTTGAGATTTTGACATTTAAATTACTAGTTATTCTTGTATAATGATTGTCCTTAATGGCAAAGTACTAAAGGTCGATTTTATGTGTCTATAAAAAAATATTATGCACGATAGTGTTTGCTACCACAATTTGTATTCATTCCTAAAACCTACGAACCATTCCTAGTGCTACGAACTACAGCAAATATGATGTCACGATTATTAACATTGAAGTATCAACATACAATCATCTAAGTAAAATAGCAATACATTGCATTGCTGTGCAGGTATCAAGTATAAGGAACTAACAAAAACTGGTATGGCATACGTCATGCTAATATAAGGGAACTATTAAATACAAAAACGTATTTTTCTGAAGTGTAGTTACTTTTTAGAATCAAGAACAAGAAATGCAGATAGCAACTCAACGTAGATGGTTTTTTGAAAAATAATTACATATTTCCCACTCTTGCAACATTTGTTGACGCAATGTTTCTCGCATTAATGAATAGTGCACATTTTCATCACTAAGGTTAATGAAATCATTTTCTTATGATGTGGGCAACTGAAATCATTTCTTTGAAATTATAAAATAGTGGCTGATTGCTGCATGAGTATATAAGGCGTCCATCCAGTAATGCACACTCTCCCGAGTCAACCATTTGATGCAGTGTTTTGGCATTTGTTCATGGATGACGAAACGCTTTCATCCCCAAATCATGATTCACAATTGTATGTTGTAAAACATGTCTATTATTTGATAATGAAGAAATTTTAAAAATGGGATTATAATGCCGAAAATCAGACAAATAAATTGCTCTTAACCTGGTTAACATGTTTCAGGGACTGCTCTGCAATTTGAATGAACAAAGACACAAATCCATGATGTCCTATTTATCAGAAACTTTCTCTAAGTTTCGATTAATTGGATTAATAGAAAGACGTGTATGTTGTTATTTGATACCTACCAAACCGAGAAAATGAATATATTCAACGCAAATTAACAACAATAAGACTGTATGCCTGACACATAACAGTCTTCTGATTGCATCTATAAAGCAATCTAACGAAGAAATATTTTGATTTCCATTTTATTATCATTCTTGAAATGTACCAGTATAGTTGTTTTCCTGGATTCTTTATTTGCGTTATTGGTTACACTATTAATAATATTGTGAATTACATTTTACAGGATGTGCAACGGTCAATGACATAAACTCATCGCTTGTGGTTCACCAGTCTGAGTTATCGAAACTATAGTTTGACTATCTGCATACTGCTGAAATAGAACTAGGAAGAAATCTACATGCCTACTAATTAATTTACGATGACTCAACCAATAATTTTAACCAGTAATCAGAAATGAAAGCTTATATGTTACAAATTATATGTCCTTGATTAAATACTACTTTTATTTTAATAAATTTTCAATGTGTTATTAACAACCCCATACACAAGAGGCTTCCGCAAATGAATAAGTAGAACGTTGGTGAGCTGTTTCTTCCACTGAGAGAGTTTGGGTAACTCCGGATCCGTACCCTTTATAAAACCGCAAACATGGTGCTACTGTCACGAGGTTGAATGATATTCGGCACAAACAATTCTGTCCGTGAAGGGTACCACCCAATACCCGTGATTGTGGGTTCTTTTATTTTACCCATAACAAATAGGGCCACATGGGACCTCTCGATAAATAACCAGATTGGAATCGTAAGATAGTAATTGCAGGGTATAACGTCACTCTTATGTAATGAAAACAATATTGGTAAAAATCAATAGATTTAATACACTTATGCAATAGCATGTACAATAAATAAGTGTCTCCAAACAATACAATCAATAATAATAACAATCAATACTACAGCCTCTGGAATTCCCTATACTAATGTGAGTGTGTGTATGGGTTTACCGGTAACAAATGCCATGGTCTTTGTAGTCAATCCGTGGTGATATCAAATCGATGATTCCCTTGTCTTCAGTCAGCATGATATTCAGTGGCTTGGTATGTTCTCATCACTATTAGTGGCTTCCATTATCGGCCTACTAGAGCTCTTTGGTCAGTCTTCCTGCAGCATAGCCCGAATCTCTTGACAACTTGCAGGGAGAGACCACGACCACAACCTGCTCACACCTCGGTCACCAAGGGAAGACTGCCTCTACATGTGCTCCCAATTCCACTGGGGTTTCTCCAGGAGGAGTGCAGGAGTGGGGACAAAGGTTATTTCTATCCTTTTGTTCTAGTAGTCAGGTCAGTGACCTCATGTCTCCAATCTGGCAGTAATTCAGTCAAGTTAGTTTCCTATACAATTTGGCAATGATTCACAATGTCCTTCAGCCAAGTCAGTGATACTGTTCGGTAGTAATTAATTTTCACGTTTTTGCGAAATACGCTGTTTTCCATAAACACGCGTCTATAAACTACAATGTTCTGCCAGGAGCATGCCTAGGTGGCATCGTGACGTCCTGACCGCAAAGTGTACGTATGCACAAAAATTTTCCTACCTGGCTGTATTAAACACATTGTCTAGAGGCAGGACATGTATAGATAAACAGAACAGACCAATTGTGATAGATTTTTTGACGAACCCTGTGACAGCTACCTTTTTATACAATCTCGCGAAATATATACACACTCATACAGACTGTATTTGCAAACTAATATTTTAAACTAATTAAACTAATTGCAGAATGTCGCGCACAAATGTTATGATTTGTTATGGTTTTTGTTGATTTCTTCGGGACTGACAAGGTAGACTGATTTTAAAACTCTAGATTTGACGTTAAGCTAAGATATATTATTCTAATGGAAATGTTTCCCGAAGTGCGTACAATCGAGTGGTCTGACAATATAGTGTTCACTCAACAAAACGATATAACCGGTTATTCCCAACAGTTTTTCCCAATAAGTTTTAGCTGTTCGCGATTACATTTTGAAAAGTGGAACCAGCGAGAACAAATACAAAATTAACCAGGGTTGCACACACAGGAATAAAATTTGCATATTGAGAATTAAAGTTTACGAGGATGAAGGAATGAAAGTTATTTAAAAAAAAAATGGGAAAGCTGTATTTGATTGGTTGCCATTCATCAAGCCAAGTACTTTTAAATAGTATTATGAATTCAAAAATGGTCTTTTTGTCGAAAACAGTATATATGATAATAGCCAAATAATAAGTGATATCCATAACTTATTGTTATGAAAAACGAAATAAATAGTTGTAAGGAAGCATTTCTTAATGTATACATTTGCATTGTACTTCAAGTAGCATACTGCATAGTTAAATGAAGATTTGCTAAAACAAATACTGTATATATTATACCACATACGATACCTATATAGGTTGTAATAAAGCAACGACATGTTAGAAAAATAATAAAAACAATGCAGTGTTTATTACGAGGAATTCGAGGTGTAGGTTAAGCATAGTATGATACAAGCTAGAATCGTTTGCACCCTACTTTAAACCTTTACGAGGAAACCTTAAGAACCTGCTGGATTAGTTAGTTATTACATGTTATATTAGGTTTTGAAGGCTGCTGAGTCGAAAAAGTACACTAAATGAACCAACTAAATAAACCCAAAAGCATGCGTTAGAGACATACCTATGAAGAATTTGATTAGCCAGTATTTAATATATGTTAATACCCAGGCTACTCTTTTGACAAAGCTCATACATTTCATACAGGATCAAAAAAGTAAGCAAAAATTGTCGAATTTAATTTGTTGCCAGTCACCTCAAAATGTATTAAAACTGTGATTAAATTGAAATTAAAATCAATAAATGTGAACTATAGAAACCGAGTACCAATAATTATATATTAAATGTTTACATTATGAACTACTATTCCTACTTCAAGCAATCAAAACAACGAGAAATCGTAATATAATATATTAAACTGTATATTTTAACTGACAGATTTGCAA